GGCCATTAATGAAGTAATGGAACTGGACCTCCGGCGAAAGGGGGGTTTGTTATTTGGTTTCATGCATAAAATAGCTGCACATAAGTGCAAGCTGCAACTGCAGCATGAAATGATGATGAAAATTTCATGAATTTGCAACGGACCAAAGGAGCGGTGGGGTGTGCTCATCCCTTTTGGCCCAGTTGTGGGATGAAATGCAATTTTGCGCTGCCAGTTTTTTGAGTGGCACAAACAAACGAACACATGTGCAGCAGCTGCACACCAACACGGTTTCATTTTAATAGGTGTAAAGGCCTTAAGTTTATAAAATTATGATACTCAGCAAATGTGTCCCAGGCACTGGGAGAATTTTTGACCATTTTTGTGCGTTTTTGAGTTAAATTTTGACATGAACTTTAACCGAAGCATGGCCAAGTGTCTCAAAAAGTATACTTCGTAAATACCTTTATGCTTGACTATTAAGGTTTGGGGTAATATGTCATTAAACTTGTATTTTTAAATTTTTCTATTAAACTTGAACTTTAACCGGAGCATGAGAAATCGGATTATTATCTAATTTCCCTATGTGAATACATATAGGCAAACTGAGGTTTAACCGAAGGTTATGTCGTACCCTTAGTTTTTTCATTACTATTAAAGTTCTGGCTTCTTGCAGTGCAAAATCAGTTGCCTTGGCAAGCTGTTGCATAAATCAACTTCATCTGTGAACGCGAGTGTTTGTTTTTCCCTGTGCTACGAGTGCGTGTGTTTGTATTTTAGATAACTCAGCGTTAAGCGCCCGCTTGAAACTATGTCAAGCCCTCCCAGACACACAAACCATCGCACGGCAGCTGTAATGCCGGCATTAACCCACAGATGGTGCTGCCGCTGCTGCTTCACCTGAAGAGGAAGAGCCTCGGATGCTGCCGGGTGCCAACCATCGTGTGTGCTCTATAAAATATTTGTTTAAACTTGCACCACATCCACTCGATCCCCTCGCAGCCCAGCAACACACCCACATTTTCTGCATTTTCTGGTGTTGATAAGCACACTTTGCTCACCGGCCACTTGAGGCAGCGCAACGGGTAATCACAACTTAAATGAGTAGTTTAATTTTGTTCAAGTGCAGCGCAAGAGATTCATCTCATGAGCAGAAGCGAAAACATAAACAGTAGCAATCATTGGAAAAATATATAAATATTTATTAGTTACATTTGAAATATTCAAATTAATATCTGGCTTGTAAGTTCAAAGAGTTTATAAGTCTTACAACTTTTTATGTATTTAGTTAATTACAACATTTTAATATATTTCATCTGTACAAAATGAATATTTTTCTCAGTGTTTGGCATAGCTAGATGTACCTTTGATGTATTTTTCCCCTGACTTTGGTAGAAGACATAGAGTCAGAGACCTGCTTTATGACCAGGCCGAGTGGCAAGTTGCATTCCCCGCTAGAATTGCTGTTTATTGTATTCCTCTAAATTGTTGTTTATGTCTGCATTCAGACAGCAACTGCAATTGCAGTTGCAGTTGCAGCTGCAATGGCAACTGGCAACTGGCAACTGCTGCAACATTAGCGGTAGAGGTAGCAGCAACATCCAGCGACTCGACTCGTCAACAACCTGACAATTTGTGCCTGTCTCCTGGCTGATGGCAAAGTGTGGCCGTTGTTGCCTGTTTCAGACAGTTTGCTGTAGTGCTGTAGTGGCAGGCAGCAATAAAAGTGCTAAAAAGTTTCATGCCCCCAGACTGCATCCTGTGCCAAAGTCCCACTCCTGCTGCTGCTGCTGCTGATGTTGAAGTTCCTGGTGCCCACAGAACATTTTTTAATCTTTTAAAACTGAGCTGCATTGTTGTTCTGCGCGCTCTGTGCGGCTGCATTTGAAGTTGAGGAGAAGAGCGGAAGAATGCCGGAGAGAATGCCGCAGTCCACCCCTAAGAACCGGCTGAATCCCAGACCCCCGGTTATGTCCTTGCATATTCCTCAAGCCTAATGAGAGCATTATAACTTTGTGACAAACTTTGCGGAGCCACCGAAGTTGGAAAAGGCGGGCTAAAGTACAAAAAAATAGTAGCTGCCACTGATGCTAATGAGAGAAAGAGTTTTCGAGCAAAAATTGTATTCATTAAATATGAAGTATAGCTTGCAATTTCATCCTTAAACAACACCGGTTTGTGTGCTCTGCAAATAAGCTGAAAAAACTTTAATTACTCTCTTGAACGGACAGGCATCTCTCTTGAACGGACAACACATACATAGTATTATTATAAATACTAAACAGAATAATATTTTTAAAGAAACAACATTGTTGTATATCATTTCTTTTGCTGATTCATGGCTTATATATGTAAATTTTCAGCGCATTTCAAGTTCGTTTAATGGTTTTCTTAGTTAGTTAAAGAATTTGTTTTGTTTTTATGTTTTTCTTCCCTCTTGTTTTGCTTGCTCTTCTGCTTATCTTTCGTTTCATTCATAATTTCTGCCGCATATGTAACTGCGGGGGTTGCTTGGAGTGTCGCAGGATGTACCTGATATGTCCCTTAGGGGGTGTAATGGGGGCGGGTGGGTGTTATAAGGAGGTGGGTGTTATGTGAGGGGGCGGTTGAAACAGAACAGAACAGAACTTTGTCGCGTTGTCAAGCCTTTGTGGCTGTTTTCTATTTATGTTATGTTATGTTGCCGCTACCTGACTGGGACTCCCTGACTTTTCCCTCCATGTCTGATGTCTGGCTGGGCTTATGTATACCACCCACTTAACCATTTCCTTCACCATTTCACCACCCCCTAGAATGTCTGCACACGTACCACGTAGAGAAATGACATCAGTGGCAGTGGAGCCCGAGGCTCAGACTGCATCGTTGAGTAGGAAATTAAATACTTCAGTCGGATGTTTTGGGGAAATTTCCGTACTTTGCCTCGTTTCCATCTGAAAGTCGATTAAAATTTGCCTCCGCTTCCTGGAAATGCTCAAATTCGATGGAAATCGCAGAGCAATTTGTGAAGTTATTTAAATTGCATATTTGGCCAAATTCCTATAGATTTATGACCCCAAGAGAGACTTTCACTATTGGTTTTACTATCTGCCATGCATTGCTCTGCATTTCTCAACCCCATTTCTCTTTTTATTATCGCCCATTCAATTAGTCTGGCTCTAATGACATTTAGCCCGGCTCCCATGATAATCCCCCCACGGTCAGCTTCTGCAACTGCTGCTGCACTTTTGCCCCAATTTCCTTCGGTCACCCTCCCCGGGTTTTCCACATTTTCACCCCTCACTTTGCGTTGCACTGCGCCAAAAATGCAATGGAAGCGATATAAAAGGCAACAAGGCTTTGCAGCCTCATTTCGTTTTTCTTTTTTCTTCCCTCGCAGTTTTTTTTTACAGGGTATCGAAGAACTGGGGGATGTGGTTTTTGGAAGGATTTTTGTAACACGAGTTATAAAGAAGTGAGTTATAGGATGTTATATTAATATTTTATGATCGAAATAAATGGTACTAACATGTGGTAAAGGTCTTGAACTAGAAGTATTAGTATAAAAATGTGATTATATTATAAAGGGGATCGATCCATTCACTTGTCATCAGTAACCGATATCTTAAGAAGTATGAAGTATTTATTACCAGGTACATCCTGGTCTAAACTTTGGTATATAGTTTATTTTTTTGGGCACCCTTTTGTTGCCTCTTCAGTTGTTGTTGCGTGTAACACTTTTGCACCTCCCCATCGCCGCCCCCTCGAAACAAATGTCACACGAATGTGGAGCACGTCATGTGTTTATGCATGCAAATGCAGCCAACGTGTTCGGATAAAAAAAAAACAGAGAGAAGCATGGTTCTTTCTCCGATTCTCGATCGCGATTGTTGCCCACATGCCAAGTTGTATAAGAAATATTGGTGCAGAGGGGGTGCGACATTACATTTTCGGTAATTTGTCTTGTTGATTCCAATGTGTGATAAGTTCCAACATAAGTTGTTGACTAGCGATGAGAAAACATGTCTCTACATGTTTTTAAAACAACTTAAAGATTTTAAAATAGACAATTTCTAAGCTAATATAATGTTTCAGCTGAATTTAAGCTTAAAATATTATAAACCAAAGAAAGAAAAATCAATACGCCATTTTGTAGATATTTTTTTGTGTGCTTCCAAAAAAATATTTCCCTATATGGAAAGAAGGGTACGTTGCTGAGCACACTTTCCCTCTTCAAACATTTCCATCTCTAACCATAACCGAAAGCGATAGGGACCTGGGGGACTGCCACTAAAGACCTGGAACAACGTCTGCGATAAGCGGACCCACCTCCTCCTCCACAGACCATTAACTGCACTCTATCGATATTCATTTGTACATTTCACTTTTTGGGTTTTGGGGTCAACTAACGACTCTCGAGCGTTTAAATTTTGTGTTGTCCGATAAGGGCGACCGCATCTGGTGTCGCTTCTGTTCCAACTGAAACTTTGAGGCTTAATGGCTTATCAGCCGGTAGGTTGGAGTACCGCTCTACCCCTCCCCAATCGATTCCCTCACAAAAACTTTGGGTGTCGAAATCCCGCGCTTGACCCAATTGGAAGTGCGACGAGGGACCCACACATGAGAAATGAGCTGCCAATGGCTACAAGACTTTGAATTGGGGAAAAACTTTGAGTAATTGACTGCACTCCAGTCGTAACTCCACCTCCAAAAACTTAGCCCGCAGACTGCGCGAGGTATGTCCGAAAATAGTTTCCATTTAACGACGAATGCCACCCCGAAGTAACGACGTTTAAAAGAAGCTAGTCATTAAAAATTAAATAAAATATAGTTGGCAAGTCTTTAATAAATATATATAATATTAATTAAATATTTTTATTGCATATTTTATGAGGTTTTTTATTTTGACAGATCTACCATATTTTTACCTTTAAAGATATAAGTACTGTAAGATAACTTATCATATAGAAAACTGAATATTAATTGCGCAAATGTCGAATATTTATACCTTCTTTCGAACTATAATAAAACCAAAGGTTACAACAATTAGCAGGATAAACAGGAACAGGATATCCCGACAGCTTGTGGATTATAACCGCAAACATTGGTGCTGCTAATTTCTGGATTATTTACTTAATTTGTTCGTTTACTTTGCCTCGCATTGAATTAAACTCCCTGGAAGTTGCGTGTGGCAATGTAACGTCAGGACTCAGGATACAGGCGTTAATGCCCCATTATTTGTGGCTGTTGCTGTCGTCATGGCCATTCGACAATCCACAATCGACGGCGTCGGTTGGCAACAGCGACTTGACTGGGCTTTGCCTCCACTTAACTGGTCACTGGCGGCTTTTTAGCCTTTTTAGCCAAGTGCTGACGTCGCGGGCGGGGCAACAAAAGCGTGTAAATATTGCCACCTCGTCGTCCTGGCGCCGTATCGCCATTTCCCGGAGCGCTGTAATTTGCCACGTCCTTCGTCCTCTTGGCCCTCTTGGTCCTCTCCTTGGTCCTTGTGGGTGGGCGTTGTTTGCTGCCATCTAATCGCGTACAAATATTGTTTTAATATTGCAGCGAGCTTTCTTTAGTTTACTTCCACACCCCCTTTTTATCCTGCCGTCAGCTTAGCCTGCAATTAAGTTTCTTCATGGCTATGAAAAGGCAACTCGTGTTATTGTTGACGAAAATTACGGTTGTTTGTACTACCAGCAATTGTAACTATTACATGTTCCGACGGTTTAAAAGGAAGGAAGCCAGGACTATAACAATTGTGGGTTCTGTTACTGACACAATTTAACGGGGAGTTAAAAAAAAACTGGTGGTAGTTTTCTGCATAAAAAGACGTGAGCTTTAATCAATTATTGTATTTATGTGGGGTTCTTGCAACGACTGACAGGCTCTATATAGTGTGTAAATATTTTTAAGCCCACCAAATTGACAGAAAAGTAATTATTGTCATAAAGCTACTTATTGCACTGATTACTATGATAATCCCCCGAGTGAAAAGCAGTGCAACTGCGTCTGGATTTAATTTTTTTTTATTACTCCATAAAATATTTAAATATTTCGCAACCGAATTATTTTCCTGAGGGAAAAGAGGACCTTATAAACGTCATCTATGGCATGTTTGACCCTTCAGAATTTTATTACTGGCGCCCTCGGCGTGTTGGACTCACATTTTTCCTCACCAGCTCGATTTCGTCATCGTTCAGCACATTCCACGCCCCCATTTTGCTAACTTGTTTTCCGTTTTTTCCTCCAGTTTTCCTGGGGATTTTCTTGTCCGTTTTTGCCGTCCTGGCACGCAATGAACTCCGGTTCGGAACTTTCCCTGCCATAATCCTTGCTTCCTTATTTTTTGTAGCTCTTCCCGCTGTTGTTTCTCACACGGTAATTAGATTTCTGGGTTATTTTTTTTTTTTTTTTGTTTGCGAATTCGTTCCTTTTGACAGCGCTTGTTTATTTAGCGAACTAATTACGTGTCTTTGGATTGCCGCCTGTTAACTCCACACAATGCGCCCTTCTCACTCCATCTTGTTCGCAATAAAAATCATAACTTTTAACTTCTAGCCACATACAAATATTTCATTAAAATAAACGCGAGTAAGCCACAGGATGTCTGTCGGTTTGGTTGGCATCATTTCGCGACCGCAGGCGTCGTCTGAGGAGGTGGGAACCCATTAAAGTAATGAGCTCATCTCGTGATGTTGTAACACGCCCCATCCTCCATCATCTATGTATCCTACATCCCCTTCGGGGTCCTGCCTTTTCGCTGTTTGCTTTCGGTTTGGTTCCAATCCCACCTCTTCGGAGGTTGACAAACCCAAAGCCAAAGCCAAACCCAAACCACAGAACGCAGACGAAGCTCATCATTGGAGGCAGCAACACAGCGAAGAGGCAAGTGTTATGCGTTCTGATCACGCAGCACTTCCGGTTCCCCTATATCCTCTCATCAGACAGCCTATTTTTATGCTGTAACATATAGGGTATTATTATAGGAGATTTAGATTTTAGGTGATTTGGGAACATTATAAAAATATTTATCAAATTACTTTACAAATTATTGGATATTCAAAGAAAAATACTTGTAATGTTGCCATATTGTCTTTGATATATTAATAACGAAACCGAAATATAGTGTAGTTCTGTTGTTTCAAAGTATTACTTATATGTAAGTAATACTTTGAAACAACAGAACTACACTATATTTCGGTTTCGTTATTAATATATCAAAGACAATATGGCAACATTACAAGTATTTTTCTTTGAATATCCAATAATTTGTAAAATTATTATGATAAGCCATTTAAATATACCTTCAATACGTTCATCTCTAAATTTGTTGCTTGTTTTAGAGGTTTTATTTTTGAAAATTTACAAGAGGAACATTCCCTTTTCGGTTTGCAAAGCTTTCATACTTTTTGTAGGTTTTTCCTTTTCATAACGCTCACGTTGGCAGGCAACAAAAATAACTGCGTGAAATTGTGCGTTACAAGCAGGTCACGCCCCCAAAAACTCTCCCCTAGAAAAGAAGACGTTCCTTTAGCTTCTCTATTTCTTTTTTTTCGATATGGTGTCCCGACATTCCTTTAACCCTTCGCCGCCCAGCTGGGAATCAGTGATTGTAGTGGCGTCAACAAATAAATCTGCAAATCTGAACCAACCGAAACCCAGTGGGAATACCCTACTCTTTGGCCACATAAAACCCTAGAGATACCCTACGCGGAGCTTTGCTTTTTGTCTGGCGTAGCCTAGATTATATGAGATTTAATGGAATTCGGGGGAGGCTAAAAATAAGATTTTATGCTGGTTGTCACACACAGAACTAATAACCCTTAGTTACAGGGTGCACAGAACAATAAAGGTTATTTTCCATGCATTTTTTTTGTCGCCTTTGATTTTATCTTGCCCGCTGTTTTTAGTCGTTGTGTATTTTTCATCCAAGTACGTGACTTTTTTTAATTGGGCTATAACTATAATGCTACTCCCTTCAGCCTTCTCCATCTCCCACCCTTCGATATTTCTCCCATATTTTTTTCTCTCCCTGTTTATATATAACTTTAATCTCCATATGGCTGCGGCTGCTCACGCCATCTGATTGATTTTTGTCACATGAACTTGTCACACTGGCCCTGAAGTCGGTCAAAATGTATGAAACCATAATAAAATAGCTACACTTGGGCAAAAACCTAATCTATTAATCATAAAGGTCATACATATTTGGTTATGAGCTAAAATATTATAGCATGTTATTGATTACAGAGCAAAATGTGTTTCTAATACATTTTTTTTTAGATAGGCTAGGAAATTATGTTAAACTTCCGGAATAAAAATCTATTGTTCAAACAGGTTCAAACATTTTTCTCAGTGCTCTGGTTGGGGGAGTCTTTCATTACTCTGGCTTATTATGATTATTGCTTCTAGTTCATTTGTTTAATGGTCTCTCGGAGGCAGAGAACGGAAATCGTTACAGTGCCAAGTCCAGACCCTCGTAAATAGAATCTGTCGAATGGATCTGTTCCGTGCCAAGTGTTCCAGGGAGTTGGTAATAGATACTTGCATAAATAAATTGATTGGTCCCTTATATCTGGCTGTCAACTCACCATTTGCTTGTGGCATAAATTAGCTTAATTTATGCGTTCGTTCATTAACTTCCATTTCAATTTGGGCATCATCAGACAAAGTTCAATTAATTTTAACTTCAAAGAAGTTATTTCCTGTAAATTGATAGTCACGAAGTACAGTTGAATATTTTAATCCATATTTTCATTACTGGATTTTTCCTGAACAAAATACCCTTCAGTTTGTAATTGGTTACAAAATATTCCACTTGTCTGATTAACAATTTAATTTCCTTTAAGTATACTTTACAATACCACCGATATGTCATAATTTCATCTACATTTTTGTTTTAATGTCAATATAAATTTCCTGTTTTTTTGTGGACATTTCCCCTGATGCATTATTTATGGCTTTATCGATGTATAGGGATAAATGTATAAAATTGATATTTATTTCCTGGCGAGGAAAAGCTTACAGTACGTGCCAATAAACACTATGATATATTTATGTTTGCATTTATTTATGGGGCTCTAAAGTAAAGTGCCATTTAATATTAAAGCGTCGAGGAAGCAAGCCAGTCAAATGGGTTAAAAGTCAATGTTTTATGCAACAAATTCAATTTCGTTGTCACGTCAACGTCAGATGGGAGATGTTTTATTTAATCTAGAGAGCCCCCTGTTCTCCCGTTCACTTGAGGGATACACATAAATCGAGAATTTATTGTGCTCTTCATTACTGGGATGAAGGAAATTTCATTGGCACACATTTCCTTTGCGCACCAACAGATGTCCGTGTGTATTTGGTATTTGTGTAATTCTTTTAGAGGGACTAATCGATAGCACGTGAGGCTTAAAGGTGAACGACTGTATCACTCTGGGTTGAACGCTCAGATAAGACAAAAGACATTTGGGGAGTACGAGGGCGGAAAAACCGGCATATCCACACGGCATCAACAGGACGACAAAACGAGGACGTCACACACAAATTGACTTTTTAAGTAGGCAACAATGTGGCTACAGCTGACGAAGGATGAAGGACGAAGGACGATGGCTTGGCAGTGGGGCTGCGGCAAACCCAGTATAATAATAATGGAGCGCAATAAAAAAATGTGGGCGAAACAGAACCATTTTCCATTTCCATTTTGCAACAAAAACCACCCCCACAAAGAACCCCCTTATCAAAGACGCTCTACATTTCTCACAGTGTGTGGGTATGTGTGTGTGTGTGGGGCTGTCATCGGGAAATGACGGCATTACGGCATTTACAGTTAATGCCTTTATGTCCTCGAGGATTTGGCCTGACATGCGGTTGGTTTTGGGAACCCCTCCCCAGGGGAATCACATTCTTTTGCATAATATTTGATTTTATTAGACAGTGTGAGACCATTGGCGCAACTATTTTGGGGGCACATTGTTAGTTTTGGCCAAAATGTAGTTCAAATGCTCTGTTTAAAATGCTTGGGGATCAGCAAGGAAAATATATGCAGGAAACTAGGCCAGACTGAATTGTTATTCTCTACGCATTCAAGGATTTTTATAAAATTGACTGTATTATTTTATTTCAAACTCTAATTGTAAGTTTACGAACAGCAAATACGTGATTTGTTTATTGTATAATACATTTACAATTTAAATAAGTCTTTGTTTGTTAGTTATTTTTAAGTGATACTCACAATTTTCAGTCAATTTATAGTTTTGTCACCGTCTTAATAATTTATTTGTTTATGGTTATTAAAATGAATAGGCCCTTTGATTTATATGTTAGCTGCCACAATTCCTTCAAATCAGTATTAATTGACACAAAGACCTGAATTTATTGACCTCATATTTTCCATTTTCATCTCGACACAACCACACGCATCATAACTGCCAAGTTTTCATATTCGTGTTGCCGTCTTTCTAGCGCATTCAAAGCCGCAATATCCAATTAAGTATTCATTTAGTTTTGTCAACTTCAACAATGGAAATTCATTGCTCGTGTGCAGCAACAACACAACAACCATCAACAACCCACAACACATGACCTGACCCCCGTGACCCCCGTGTACCCCCGAAAAGTGAACTAGAAAATTACATTTTCATGTCACACACAAACACACACGCAAATGAAACCGAATCGCTTGTCAGCGGTGGAAAACCCGAGAACTGGTAACTGGCAGCTCTGCCTTTCGTTTGTCGGCCATCAACCCATCAACTATGATATATTCGTATACTTTTCCCAATTCCAACTCTTTGCCAGCAATCCCCAATCGGCCATTTGCATTGGGTTTTTGATATGCCAGTGCGTTGGGGTTATAAATCGCTCGTTTCTGCGGGTCCTATGTGTGTGCCACCTGTCGGTCTGGGAACAAAAAAGTATCAAATTGGGAATATTATTTTAGAGAGGGATTTTATGTCATTTACATTGGAGGGACATGTTAATACCCTAAGAGTACTAAAATGTGTCTAACATAAGTATATCAGCAATAATTCTATTCACCAAAATAAATTGTATGCAGGTAATAAACAGTAGGTATCGATTTATGTTTGAACAAAACAGAAAGTATTATCAGCACTGCCGAAAAAAAAGCTGACTCATCTTAATAAGCTGTTGATAACAATATTATTTGCATATTATCCTATCACTTAATCCCATCGCAAGCCCTTCAACTGTTGCTCTCCTTTGTTAGTCGACAGGGTAGTAAAAAATAATCCAGTCACTGACTTTTAAAGTACATCATCTCGTAAAGCTGCGTACATAATTGTATAGAATTTCCCAACATTATTGCAGCTTCAATGCTGGCTACTCAGTTTCGTTCACGGCGACCCCAAAAAATAAAGGTTGCTTGACCCCCGTGG